GATGATAACTCAACCCTCCCTAATAAGTAGGATTTGTGAAGTCCCCGTCTGAATCCAATTAGAAACAATGCATTAAAATCTTCCTAACACGAAGGATTTTCCTGAAAAACCTCTGTAACTCAAATTATCTGAGGCCTTCGAGCTATTATTTTCTTGACACAGGACAGAGGATATCACTAAATAAATCAACTTGATGTGTTTTGAAAGGAAAAGAAAAATAATTGGGCAAATGAACCCCTGCTTCTCAGTTCAGCATCCTGTCAACTCATTCAAGAGGCAATTTAAGGTCCAGAATATCACCATTTACAATTTCCTGCCATTTTCCCATGTTTCCCACAACAAAAACGTTTGTTTCCCTTACTGAAATCCCCCCTAACTTGGAACCTTTCTGAGTATAAAGAACTTCCCCAAGTCAAATGTTTTTCTTGTCTTTTGAAATTCAACTCAGAGAGGTTTCATTGTACTTGTTTTCTGGTTTGCACTGAAGTCGCAAAATAATGAATATGACCCGCACTTGTACATACCGAAAAGACTAGACGAAGGGTTTTCCAGAAGCTGAAGGGTTCTTGTTACACTGCAGGGCCAATAGGTCGGAACTAAGGACGGATTCGCGTGAGGAACGCGAGCACGATATTGATTCTAGAAGCAGAAGTGATGACGTTTGTCAAGGATTCGATGGAGGACGCGACCTCAACTTTGGTGTTGATCTTGTCTGTTGCAGACTCGTCCAGCGCTCCGGTATCTGAGCCCTAGAGTCCGAGGTGAGGATTTTCCGATATAAGCACCTCGCACTCAACCGTCAAGCTGGCTTCTACAAATGACATACCATCGCCTGTAACATGGGGGAGGCGTAAGTTCCGCATGTCACTTATCACCTGACGATTTTTCCCTTCTCGGTGTCATCTTGCTCTCTGCGAAAAATAACCTGTGCGAATTGGAATGGAAAGCATGCTGATGCGTAGCAGTTTGTAGCTTCTTCACTTGGGATCTATGCATTTTTTTTTTTTTTACCGAGATGACATCTCGAATACGGATGCCACCAGCCTAGAAAGAACCTCAGGTGGACCGAAAATTGAGACGATGTGATGAACAATGCATGACGTGTACGCTGTAACGAAAAAAAAAAAAACGTTGAATCATCCTACCAGGTTACCAGGTTTCATATTTATGACCACTCTATTGAAAATGATCACTGTACTTCTTTTAAAGTACATGTATACATAAGCTCAAGAAATTCCATCAAACAATTTCTGTTTTTCGTTAATATTTTCACTCCTCTCTAAAATTGAAAAATTTGCTCGCTACCTTTAATCAGATGTTTCGATCTGCAGTAATTCCTCAACAATTTTATAATCTAACGTCGAGGGTAGGGTTTCTGTAACATTCTTCGCGATAATTCACTTGGCGGATTCAATTTTTTTTAATCGAAATAATATTCAGTTTTTAAACTTTAAAAGTGTAGAATATAAAAATGTAAAAATCTATGCTTGCTCGGCTTGAAAAAAAACTTGCTTCAAATTCAATGAGTTGCATTTCTCGTTTCCAGAAATCAGAGGCGATTTTCAGCTCGAGAAATTTTTTGCGAAAATGCGACGAACACCTTGTGGGGAAAAGTTTTATCCCTGAATCGTAAATTGCGACACGGATGCATTTAAACGAGGTTTCGACGGAGGAGTTTCCTTTGCACTATGTGTGCAGCTAAAAGTTGATCCGAGCGAGAACCAGTACCATCAGAGTAGAAGGCGTTGGAGGATTTCCCAACTTTCATCCTACTCTCACCCAAATTTTCCGGTCTTCGCCCAAGTTCTCATGATGCTTGAACGACGCTCAGCAGTGAAAATTAGCTCATCTCCTCCATTTTCTCCCCGACCTTTTCATGCGAGGGATAATTCAAGTTACGGCGTGTCCGGAATTCAGAGTACAGTAGATTCAAAAGAAATGTGTTGACCAGGTAGTCGAGCGAGGAAGAATGCTTGGGTGTTATAGGATCCACGTATGTGTTGTATTCTGAACCTCGACATCAACATCGATCCTGAATGAGCCTGAATCAATCTAGTGATTTTTTCGAAAGTAAATTTTTTCGCTGTGCCTAAACCATTAGTGATTGTATCTTTCAAAGGTAGTTTTGCCCCTCCGAGCAACTATAAAAGAATTTTCCTAGGCAGAGGATGCTATGAAACCAGGGCGAGAAAATATAGAGTGCAAACAATTTTTATGCGTTTAGATACAGTATTTAAAGATATGCATCAAAAGTGTTCACACAAGTAAGTCAAAAGCATGGAATATTGTGCATTTGAGATCGTTCGTGGAATCACGTTATGCTATGGTTCCTGTATTTTTTTATTTTAAAAATTCAGTCAGTGCAGAGTTCTAGCTTCAAGATATTAAGGAAAATCGATTGAATATGCAGTAAGCATCTCTGCGTATATTCGGGTTCCGGTGAAACGTTAATCAATCTAACATTTTCTAATAATGGGGGGTAAGTTCATGCATTCTATTTGTAATACTGTACCTTTTTTACATGGATACACTGACGTTTCAAGTAGAAGACGGAGTTTTGAAATCATTTCGAAACCACCCAGAGAAAATTTCTTCGACCGTCCGGAATCCATTTGAATCATACGAAGCAGAGTTTCACCAACGTTTTTATTCGAGGAACCATTTTCATAAACAAATTATGAGGCATAATCGTTTGCCATGTCAAGTTGTATGATGGAACCCGTTAGTCATGCCCTGATAGGCATACCTGAATAATTTGTGTCTCCATAAACTTGAGACCTACTTTCTATTGATATCTGCGTATATGGAGATGAAGGCATGATAACCTCCTTAGATTCTTTGTGGGCCCGACTTTTCAAGTGTAAACTTTAATCGAAAATCCTCGGGAAATGCATGAATATCCCTTGAAGTAATGGTTAAAAACCTCCGTTATAAAAATAATCTTTTATCATTCGGGCAGACTTTCTTCGTAAGTATTTTTTCTTTTGGAAATTTGCAATTGTAATTTGCTGACGATTCCCCAGCATTACTAGTTCAATAAGTGCCGGTATCTTGGGCCACATTCATATTCGGCAACGAACTGCTTGAGTTATTGCCATCCTTCCCGAAAGTTGCGGAGATTTCCGCTCTGCTTCGTCTCGGGATAAACTCGATCTTCCGACTTCCTCGAAACTCCGGGGCTGAAAATAATCCCTGCGTTGTATTGCCTTCCCCGCTCTTGTTCACACGAGTGCTTCGAACTATTCATCTCCGGTGTCGGACACCGTGATGCGGTTATTCTCTTTCCTCTGCTTCTTCAACTCCTACCACTCTCTAAAATGGCACGGTTGATGAAGGGGAGGAGAAAAAAGGAAAGTGAACTCCATGGTACAAAAAGAGAGTGAAATTCTCGGCTTTTTTCTTTCGGACGTTTAGTTCACGTCCAGATGCGAAATCACCGCCAACTAAATGCAGACACGGACGAAATACTTCACAGGTTAATCTTGTTAGAGCGAAATCCTGCACTGACCCAGAAAAATGCGTCATAACGTATACGGATGTTGTAGTACCGAGATTCGTGTAACAAATTTTGGCTAGTTTTTTTTTCTGAAATATGACGTTACTTGCTTCAAACCCCAGTTCTTGTCTGAAAAAAATCAACGTACTTGAACAGAATAGCCAAGTTTTCCAGCTTTACTTACAGCAATATAGTGTAGTAAAAAGTTTCTGCAGCAAAAATAAGCTTGTTTATTACCATAAGCACATGAAAAACTACAGAAAAGTCTCGGAGAAACAATTTCTCTTTCTGAAAAATGAGATGTAATTTTATAGATTTTTTTGTAATTGTGTGTACGGCATTTCGGACAGAACCTTCGAACAATTTCGTTATGTTGAACAAGTGTGTCGTCACAACGCCCATTCCCAAAAGAAAATCTGAGCGCATTGGACGAATCAGAATCACGAATGGCTTTTCAGGAAGATTTTTCAATTTTATTTGTAAAGATTATTTCGGGGAAGGGCAATCAAGCTGAGGCGTAAACTTCACTGAAGGATGAGGACTAGTAAACCAAGATGACGCTGATCTGTGAACTCTTGGAGAGCCATTTAATCATATTTTATTAATGAGACAACCAGTGAGGACACATAACGAAATTAATGGCCTCTCTAATGCCAAAACGTGAGGTAATTTAATCATGCAGATCCATTATCAAAGTAACTGCCGTCAATAAATTTTCGCTGAGGGTATTGCACCACGGAAAGCTCCGAGAAACTCGTTTTCAGTCGTATCTCATCTCGAGATTCTAGTCAAACGCGTAAAGTTACGAAAATGCATGCTTTTGGGGTGGAAATGTATTGAATTCATGCAATATGGCGGGTCTTCACAGATTGTGACTCACAAAAGAAAAGGAGAGTGAGTCTCAGCTTTTATACCGTCTGATATTTGAATGCTCATTAATAGTTTAAATTTCGCGGTGGAAGGTGGATTTAGTGGTTATGTATAATTGAATCATCAATCCCTGGAAACTTTCATCGGCTGAGGATAAACAAGACTTGACCTAAATATATTCACAGCAGACTGATGCAAAAAGTTGTGAAAGCACCTCTTTCTCCTCTGATTTCTTCTTCCTATGTCACTCGTGCCATTTTATGGCAAAGTTCTGACGTTCAGTTCACTCGGAAACATTTCACCTCACTCTGCAGTTTTTCATCACAACGACTACAGTTTGAGAATGCATTGTTATCAGCCATTTTTGCACTTTTTGGTCTAAGCTTTCATGTTACTTCTTGGATTTGGCAGGAAGTTATTTTTAACTGGGTGAAAATTTCGAATGCGTCTTGGAATCCATGTCGTTTTATCTTCATGTAGAAGATGAAATTGCAGTAAAAATTAAACAACAGTTGGCCGAAATTTGATGTGAGCCGCTTAATGCGTGACTCCAGTGCATGGTTGGTCTCATACGAGGCCATACGCAGGGATGAAATTCCAATTCACACAACAACAAAAACGAAACTGTGCATTCATGGTGAAGGATTTTGATCCATATTGCTCAGGCTGGCCTCGTATAAGTGAAGAAGAAGGAGCCGAGGAAGGCGGGGAAGGCCCGGCTGGAACTCGACGGACGCTGGCTGGACTGTCGTTCAGACCACTGCGACTCGGGTCGGCTCGGCATGGTGGGAGGATGGGCGCGAGCAATATGGACAATGGCGATCCTGGCTCATACGCTCTGGAGTATGCCGTCATCGAAGCCTGGCTGGACGAGCACTCCGATTTCCTCAACGACTATTTCATTAGGTGAGCCATGAAGTACACGGGTTTGGTATGAGTCTTTTGAAAGTCCGAGCTGCTCTCAGACAGGCTTTTGTGGCGAGGGGTCTATAAAGCTGCTAATTACACTGCTTTTCAGAAGAATACACAAACCGTTTAATAAACATTTTTTCTTTGAAAAAATAAAAATAAAAACCCTGGGGGTGGGGGTTTGGGATGAGTCTTTTGAAAGTCCGAGCTGCTCTCATACAGGCTTTTGCGGCGAGGGGTCTATAAAGCCGCTAATTCCACTGATTTTCAGAAGAATACACAATCCGTCCAAGAAGAAAAAATTGCTGAAGTGCGAATAATTTCTCATGATGACTGAAACCGGTCAAAAACTGAATTTCCATTTTTGGCCCACAAAAAAATTTTCGGCACACTGTGAATCGAAACTTCAGCTGAGCAGAAACATGGTTGCAGTCCAATTATTCATGGAATTTTAACGACGTTGAGCAGGGTGCTCATCTATTTTTCCTTTCTCCTTTATAATTCGGAAGATAAAGATTTTCTACTCGAAGAGACGATCGATGTAAAAAAACCCGATACAATTTCCCTGATGATGAATTTTTGATGAGCCAGTTCATTCCCCGCCAATGCAATGCCGATCAATAAAACAATTTGGAATTCCGTGATTGATTAGTTTTCGAATCGACCGCGGGCACAAAGATTTGCTGCTTTCCCGTGTGCCAAATTTAATCAGGTGGGCATTTTCGAACCCAAAAAGCAATTCAAAATACTTCGCTAATTTGATATATAACATTACTATATACCTAATTTTCAAACGCCGAAAGCTTCATTTCTTCGAAGGATAGAAGCTAAATCCTTTTATCATAAATAAAAAGACCTTGTTAAAAGGTTCCGTTGTGTTCGCATTCATCGAGTGAAATATTTGATTCTTCTCCATATTGGCAGTTCCGTGTATCGCACTGTTCTACGTTTTACCCGTTCTGATACACGTACCGCTTGGTGGAAAAGCGTTTCTGTACTGCACTGGATTTTGTGAATTTACAATTTTAAATTGACTTTTTCCTAAATTTGATGAATGCAGGAAAGGAACAAGGCACATGGTGGACGCATGGCTGATGTCCCATACTGGCTATTCGTCACCATCACCTAGTGAGCAGAACCCCGGCGTCGGCGCGAGCCAGACGACAACGACGTTCGCGTCGTCCACAATCACACATGCTGGCCAGGGTCAGGGACAGAGCCTGGGCCAGAACCAAAGCCAGGGACAGTCCGGAGGTACTGGGTCCGGGTCCCGATCAGGCGCCGGGTCTGGTTCCGGGTCCGGCTCCACAACCCCGGTTCGCAAGATCTCCGCAACGGAGTTCGAGAAGGGCGGGTTGCTGACGCCGATCGTGACGACTGTCGACGGGTGTCCGACTTTTCTCACGCCTCCTGTCGACACTATCCGGTTCGCTGCTCCTTTCTATTTATCTATATTCGCATCCGGGTCGTTGAAGAGGTCTCCGAACAACTCCTCAAGAAAGTCAGCCTGTTCTCGTGCCCTTAATTTAATGAGACCACTTAGTTAAGAGCATCCCAAATCGGCGTGTCTCAGAACAGCGCCTACAAAAAAATTCCAACATAGAGGTTACCGATTTCAAATGGTTATGTCTCCTGAAGGCCTCAGGATACTAAAATGGAGAAACATTAATTCAGATATACATTGCTCTTTCAAATGGTCTCTAAATATTAAATCTGATTTCTGCTGCATTGTTCGGACATTTAAAAAAATAACTAGCCGGCCGTTAAAACTATTTTCTTTACTACGATTGGAGGAAGATTCCATGCTTCACAAGCAGACCTCCAAATAATACAACCTAATTATTTTGGGGGATGGTTCAGAGCTTAGAGAAATTCGTTTTTATAGTCTTTTGCTAATTCAGTATTGTGAGGGGGTAAACAGCAATATTCCAGTGATGGTGGAGAATAATTCAGGGAAAATACGTTTTTTAAATCTTAGTTCTTTGTCCATTTCGCAAGAATAAGAGTTGTAGAAAAATATTCGAATGAAACTTTTTTGAAGTTCATTCGAAAATCGTTCGGTTTGTTCAAGAATCGAATGTGTAAGATTGCCTAGATGAATGTCGTGATTCCCTGCTTGCTTTCTCATGAATTACTTATGCTTCTCTTGTGCCCTTCTTTTTTTCTTGGGTTTATTTCAATTTCCGCTGCTTTCATTTAATTTTTTTGGACCCGCGCAGTTCTGGATCATAGCTTCTTGGCAAACGCGCAACAGTACTCTTGGCACAAAAATTTCCCATGTCAAAGAGCTGGCTGTAAAATGAGCTTGTTCTCTAGTAACGGATAATTATTTAAAGATATTAGACGCGTGAAATTTAAATTAATTTGAATGAAACGAAGAAAATTCTCACGTTTTCATCCAGAGTTCGACGACGAGGCCGAGCGGAATTGCGCAGTCTGAACGAGCGAGAGTTGATATTCGAGCTGGTGAAAGACATTTGCAACGAATTGGATATTCAAAGCCTGTGTCACAAGATCCTACAGAATGTGGGCATCCTGACAAACGCGGATCGAGCATCGCTGTTCCTGGTGCAGGGTGACAAGGACTCGCGCGAGCGCTGTCTCGTCACTAAACTCTTTGACGTGTGCTCCAGCAGCACTGTGGAAGAGATCAAGACCCGCCAGGAGATCCAGATTCCGTGGGGAATGGGTATTGTTGGCTTCGTTGCGGAAACCGGAAGGTCTGTCAATGTTCCGGACGCCTATCAGGTGAGAACTTTTGTTTACATCACTTGTTCGAAGAACAAAGACTTTTTTCCGTGTAGTTTGAAAAGTAGGAGAGCAAAAAGTTCTCCGCGTTGTTTTTGCTCCACCTATCTTCATCTCCCTTGTGCGTCTTCGCGCTGTAGTTTGGCTGTCCAATAAAAGTTTGCGAGATGGTTCATGCAGGCATTCTTTGGTGCCCATCATATTTTTATATAAACTAGTACGGTGGGGTGGAAAAGTTGGCAAATAAATCCATATTCAAAAATGCTACGTGGCATGTAATTGTATATTGCCGTATGTACTCGTATTTTTCAAGTGGTAGTTTTGAGTTCAGAAAAACGGCTCCGAGAGCAAGAGAAGAAAAATGTCGAGAAAATAATTTGGTATTCCGAACAAATCCTTTATTCTCAACTGCCATTCGTTCACTCAAATCCACGCAATCCGAAAAGTACTGCAGCCAGGGAAATTAAATCATAGTTCAGACCAGATAATAGTTCTTTCCTGGTATTGTATAAAAATGTAATCAAGTGTATATTTTATTCCTTTTTCTGTGCCATTTTTGGCCGTTTTCATCCTCTTCACTGGACTAATTTTTCCTCGAATATTATTCCTCCGGTGTAATTTCCTCGTGGTTAATTTTCTTTGCGTGAAATTGACTTTCATTAGGTGATGCGATTTTTCTCATTGACGTTTTCCCTCGAGACATTGTCATCGCCTTTTATTTATTTTTTTAGTGCCACCATTAAATTTGCATACCGATATCTTGTCATGTCACAGTGCCTAAAACTTACTTGAGAACATGAAAAAAATAGAAAGGCTGCAGCAACAATCCTAAAAATACTTCATACCATTTATTTAATTTTTGAAAGATTAAAGGGATTTGCAGGGTTTTCGATGAGTCAGTATTTCTAAAATTAATCTTCCAGAACACGATCCGAGGTTCAAGCATTATTTTCACGATAATACAGTGTACAGCACTGTAAATACGAAGATTCGTGATTCTGTGGCTGCAAAATTTAATGCATGCGTTGAAGAAAATAATGAAAAGGAACAGGGACAGATAATCATCATCTGAAAGCTATTAGCTCCTGAAAATGTTAATTTTTGAAACAATCCGGGGATGTGTGTTGAAATAATATTCTGAGCTTTCAGCGGGTTCATGTTCCTCGGATTTATCACCCGGAACAGGATCCGGGGTTCAAATAATGATGTAAACGCCTAATGAGCTGTATGACAAAATCCTCGAAATATTACCTATACAGTACCTTGTTTCATAAACTGGATAAACTGGATAAACTGGATAAATCAGTAAATAATAAAATATCGAATTAATTCTGTGGATGGATGTTTGGAAGATGAGCAGAGCTTTCGGTGGGCTAATGTTCCGACAATTTCTTTCCTAAAACATGATCCGATTTTCAATCATTATGTTTGAAAAACAGCGTGTATGTGATAAAGTTCGTGATTTTGAGACTGTACAATTTTATGCACGAGTTCAAGAAAATACAGTAATGACAGGAACCGGCATAGAGAATTGGCATCTGAAAGTTCCTAGAAATATTATGAAAATATTTCATAAATTCCTGGGACGCACAGTATGTTTTAATTAATATGCGGAGCTTTTAGTGCGTTAATATCCTCTGGATTTTTTTTTCGAAAACATGATCTGCAGCATGAAATATTTCATAAATTCTGGGAATGCATATGTTTTAGGTTATAAGTGCGGAGCTTTCAGTGGGTAAATATTCAAAAATTCGTACGATTTCTTTTCCGAAACAGGATCCGAGGTTCAACCATGACGTGGACGCCAAAACGGGCTATGTGACAAAATCCCTCCTTTGCATGCCAATCAAAGACTACAGCGGCAGCGTGATCGGAGTCGCTCAGGTCATCAATAAGCTCGACGGCGGAGAGTTCACCATGAACGACGAACAAGTCTTCGCCTCTTACCTACAATTCTGTGGCATCGGGTTGCGCAATGCTCAACTCTACGAGCGCAGCCAGCTCGAAATCAAACGCAATCAGGTGAGGCCATCGGGAGACACAACTAAATCAATGCCGTGCGTCCTTTTCGTCGCTCTGACAGGAGCATATTCTTCCAGGCGATTCACTTCAAGCATGCAGTATGTAAAAAAAAATTATTATTATCAAGCGTATATACGCGAAGTCAAACCTCGATAAGCCGCCACCATTTGGTTGCGAGGTTTGTGGCGGTTTATCAAAAACTGAAAAAATAAAAAATAAATTTCGTATGTAGGAAATAAAATTNTGTTTTTGCTCCACCTATCTTCATCTCCCTTGTGCGTCTTCGCGCTGTAGTTTGGCTGTCCAATAAAAGTTTGCGAGATGGTTCATGCAGGCATTCTTTGGTGCCCATCATATTTTTATATAAACTATTACGGTGGGGTGGAAAAGTTGGCAAATAAATCCATATTCAAAGATGCTCGTGGCATGTAATTGTATATTGCCGTATGTACTCGTAATTTTCAAGTGGTAGTTTTGAGTTCAGAAAAACGGCTCCGAGAGCAAGAGAAGAAAAATATCGAGAAAACAATTTGGTATTCCGAACAAATCCTTTATTTTCAACTGCCATTCGTTCACTCAAATCCACGCAATCCCAAAAGTACTGCAGCCAAGGAAATTAAATCATAGTTTAGACCAGATAATAGTTCTTCCCTGGTATTGTATGAAAATGTAATCATGTGTATGTTTTATTCCTTTTTCTGTACCATTTTTGGCCGTTTTCATCCTCTTCACTGGACTAATTTTTCCTCGAACATTATTCCTCCAGTGTAATTTCTTCGTAGTTAATTTTCTCTGCGTGAAATTGACTTTCATTAGGTGATGCGATTTTTCTCATCGACGTTTTCCCTCGAGACATTGTCATCGCCGGTTTATTCATTTTATAGTGCTTTCATTAAATTTGCATACCGATATCTTGTCATGTCACAGTTCCTAAAACTTACTTGAGAACATGAAAAAATAAATAAAAAGGCTGAAGCAACAATCCTAAAACTACTACATAAAGTTTATTTAATTTTTGAAAGATTAAAGGATTAAAGGGATTTGCAGGGTTTTCGATGAGTCAGTATTTATAAAATTAATCTTCCAGATCACGATGCGAGGTTCAAGCATTATTTTCTTCACAGCACTGTAAATACGAATATTCGTGATTCTGTGGCTGCAAAATTTAATGCATGCGTTGAAAAAAATAATTAAAAGGAACAGGGACAGATAATCATCATCTGAAAGCTGTTAGCTCCTGAAAATATTAATTTTTGAAACAATCTGGGGATGTGTGTTGAAATAATATTCTGAGTTTTCAGCGGGTTCATGTTCCTCGGATTCATTACCCGGAACAGGATCCGGGGTTCAAATAATGATGTAAACGCCTAATGAGCTGTATGACAAAATCCTCGAAATATTACCTATACCGTACCTTGTTTCATAAGCTGGATAAATCAGTAAATAATAAAATATCTAATTAATTCTGTGGATGGATGTTTTGAAGATGAGCAGAGCTTTCGGTGGGCTAATGTTCCGACAATTTCTTTCCTAAAACATGATCCGATTTTCAATCATCATGTTTGAAAAACAGCGTGTGTGTGACAAAGTTTGTGATTTTGAAACTATAACCTTTGATGCACGAGTTGAAGAAAATAAAGACAGGAACCGGCATAGAGAATGGTCATCTGAAAGTTCGTGGAAATATCATGAAAATATTTCATAAATTCCTGGGATGCACAGTTTGTTTTAAATAATATGCGGAGCTTTCAGTGCGTTAATGTCCTCCGATTTTTTCTTCGGAAACGTGATCTGCAGCATGAACTATTTCATAAATTCTGGGAATGCATATGTTTTAGGTTAAGTGCGGAGCTTTCAATGGGTAAATATTCAAGTATTCCATGCTAAAGAAAAGGCTTTGTCCTAGGCTCCAAGTTGGTACTGCACCTGCGGTTTTGCCCGATACACTGTTTTAGGGAGGAAACGTACGGTTAGTTTCTGATGTCGCCGTCGCACTAGCCTCAGCGACAGGTCATCAATAAGCTCGACGGCGGAGAGTTCACCATGAACGACGAACAAGTCTTCGCCTCTTACCTACAATTCTGTGGCATCGGGTTGCGCAATGCTCAACTCTACGAGCGCAGCCAGCTCGAAATCAAACGCAATCAGGTGAGGCCATCGGGAGACACAACTAAATCAATGCCGTGCGTCCTTTTCGTCGCTCTGACAGGAGCATATTCTTCCAGGCGATTCACTTCAAGCATGCAGTATGTAAAAAAAAATTATTATTATCAAGCGTATATACGCGAAGTCAAACCTCGATAAGCCGCCACCATTTGGTTGCGAGGTTTGTGGCGGTTTATCAAATTGACTTTTTTATTTTTTATTTAAAGCATACATCCTTTATTTTAAGTTCTATTGGGACCCTATTCATTTAATATAGGTCGATTAATGGGGTGCTTCATTTAATACAGCAGAAGAACAAAAAATTAAATTTTCATCAGAAACTTCTTGCCGAAACTTGAATCTTGTTGGCAGGCTATCAAAGACAAAATTATTGGACAGGGGCATATTCGAATTCTGGATCGTTTTTCGCGGATGGCATTTTAACGGGGTTTCTGATGCTTTCATCAATGTTCGGGAAGATTTGTTTTTCAGATAAATTGGCGGTTGCCAAGGGTGGCAGCTTATCAGGGGGGGGGGGGTCCTTAATGAGGTTTGACTGTACGATGTTTTAATGATGGACTTGTTTCAAAATAATGTACCGGACTCAACGCGTTTTTCACCGAAAGACGGAAAGATAAAATTAAAGTTTCTTTCTGGGAAGACTGTCTAAAACTTCTAAAACTTCACCTCGAAATGAAGGCTTACAAATCTCTTCTAGAATCGAGATTGAGGCTCTAAAATATATATATGCAAATATTCCAGCTGACCTGCGGAAATCGTTTTCATGGGCTCCGAAGTGCTTGAAAATTTAAATTCTCCAACAAACGAAAACCGCCGTATATAGTCCTAGCTTTTTTGCAATTATTTCAACGTAGGAATTCGGTTCAAGATGTTTAATTATAATAAATCCATAGTCTGCTCCCGGATTTGCTTTCAATCGTTCAATACCAAAAAGTTTAACAGCCGTATTTAGACTTCTCGGCAAATGGCAAAGAGTTGTGGCCGAAAACTACCTAATTGCTGCTTTTAGCTAAAAGCATTGTGCTTCTAAACGACGAAAAGTCGACTACGTCTCAATTATGACTTTGTGCCTTTCTTTATAATTTCATATGCCTTGCGAATGGCTTGAAAATCGACGTTTTCTGGAGCTACTTGACGAAGAGGTGCCGATAGCATTACGCATGCTTTCACAAAGAGGGTCGGCTGAATATTTCATGAAATTGATCTCAGTCTCAATGTTCCAGTTTCTCGCTGAGCACCTGAAGCAGAAACTCGTTCCATGCACGCCGAGATGAAATATTCACAAAATTTAAAATATTCACCGAACGACTTCGAATAAGTGCTCGTTGCTGGGAGGGTTTAAAGATTTATCGACTCTGCGTTAATGGACGACTGCATCTAGTTTTCATCCTACCAGCGGAGAATATGTAATAACTAATGACTAACGAGGCCTGGTACGCCTCGTAAGAACATTTTTCCATGAATTTTTATTCTTGCCCCGCTTACGTCCATTCTATGAACCCCATTTTCTGCCTAGAAGTCAATTCCGAATTTTCTGAAATCACGTTTTACCCGGTATGAAAATTGAAGAAAATAGGACATATTCTATCTGGATACTATGAAGTGGTCTGCCTAAGTTTCAAGAGGATAGTTTATTAATTATGTTTTGTCATTTAAGCTCTTTGCACGTTCTCAGAACAATACGCATTTCAATTGGAATTCTTAAAGTGATATTTCGTTTGACTTCATATGAAGCGTGAAACGCGCATTTGAATGTGGAAATATTCTCGATTGCTGATTGGTGTGAAAATCGATGCATACTTGAAATTTAAATTTCATCAGGTGCTGTTGGATCTGGCGCGAGTGATCTTCGAGGAGCAGAGCACCATTGAACACATCGTCAGTCGGATAATGACGCACCTGCTGTCCTTGTTACAGTGTGTTCGGTGTCAGGTGAGGAAGTTCCAGAAAATTCCCCGAGAGACGCCACCGATAATGAGGATTATACAGTACAGTATAACTAATTTTAAATGAATAAAGCTGGCCTCGATCGTCTGAGAAAAAACAGGTCGACTCTGGGAGTGACCAAAATGTATCCGCGAGAGATTCAAAAAACGAAAAGATGAGTGAACTTGAAAAAATTATATATTTCTTCCCGATATACGGTACCATCCAAAAATGGGAAAATAAGCGAGTAGAATGTTACAACCTAAAAGGATATTTCATGTGAAATTACCTGCACTTCATATGGAAAGTCTATGATACTAAGTGTCCTTGCTCCTCCGTCCCGTGAGTAACCGACAACATAATTTAGTTTAGCAAATTTGCAACGAAGAGGAAATTTTTTTCCTTGCACTGAAAAAAATTAAACTGAGGCAATCACATTTATGAAGCGTGGTTGTCATTTTGTCAAACCTTGACAATTATTACAGGTGTTGCTGACGCACGAGGAGTCGAAAAACACGTTCACGCGTGTGTTCGACATGGAAGCCGACGACCTGAATGACGAGGATGGGCTCGTAAAACCACATGAAAACCGATTCCCGATTTACATTGGAATCACCGGACGGGTTGTTACCACTGCTGAGGTTCACATTTTTTTTAAATCAATTTTTCAGATCCCGAAGTGCCCAATACCTCTTTATTAAAAAAACGTTTATGAAACACGTCGAATGAGTTAGCGTTGGTTGATCGTATTCAAATAGCGCGTCGTTAAATTCCAAGGACTATGCAGAGATTTTTTACAATTTTATGAAACGGGATTTTTTTCAAGTTTCAAGCAGGTGTCACCTGGATATCTAAGCCTAAGAATAAAAAAAAAAAGCTCAACTGAATGTGAGCGAACTCATACTAACATGGCTTAACATAATCGAATACATCACTGAAGTGTTTGTACGCTGAACTTGAAGCTATTAGAACGGATTAAACGTCTGGCAACACTTGCATCACGACCGAGGCAATGAAAAGTCTGGAAAATTTTGAGTAAAGAATTAGAAAGGCCGAAAAATTTAGTAGCATATTATCGCATATATCACTTCGTGTAAAAATCTTTTTTGTCTTATCTGAAAGACTTGTCTTCCAACTGTCATGACTCGCTGCATCTTTATGGCAGACCATAAACATGGCACAGACCGACCAAAACTGGGAATCCTACTTTGACGATTTCCCAAAATCTTCAGCATCCACGCCAGCTGTAGAACAAGGGCCACCTCCAGCACTGAAACCACCACCACCACCGCCACCTAGCGACGGAGCGACAAACTTTGAGCCACAGTGCGTTCTTTGCATGCCGATCAAAAACTCCTTCAACGAAATCATCGGCGTGATACAGGTCAGCATTTATTGATTATTCAATTACCAGTAACGATTAGAGACGCTGCAAGGGTTGGGTAATTATTACGGCCTGTCATCCATTTCTGTGACGCTTTTTCTCGCAGTTGGTGAACAAGACCACAGGGGCGAAGTTTACCAAGAATGACGAGAACTTCCTAGAGGCTTTTGCAATTTTCTGCGGAATGGGGATCCATAACACTCAGATGTGAGATTCAATTACTACTGATTGCTCGAGCAGAGTAGTTTCGGACCACATTTCCGGGATAATGACTAAGATTTTTCTTGCGCTGTTTTTATCTTTTTTTTTTAGGTACGAGCGAGCCGTCGTTGCAATGGCTAAGCACCAAGTAACGATGGAGGTCCTTAGTTACCACGCAACTGCACCAATCGAGGAGGCTTTGAAACTAAAGGTGAATACGGTACACTAATCAGAAAAAGTCTCTTGAAAACATTTATCCGAGTGATTTCTCAAAAGTCTTGCGAATCACTCACACATTTTTATTGCACTTGTATGAAACAGGAATATACTGTATTTACATCAGAATATTAATTTTCAATTTAATGTGGCCCTTTTGGAAATTTGTTATTGCTTTGAAAACAAATTTCGTCTTCCTACTCGACATGACTTATTTTCGGCACTGAGAAGACTTCCTGAACGAAAATGTGCTTGAAATTGATATACAATACCTTTCTAAATATAATGTTGGCCACAAAATCTACGACAATTAGTACCGTAATTTGGTTAGAGAAAAGTCTCATACATGGAGATTGTGTCAGATTCTGGTGTCCGTGCCTTTCCTGAAGGATACAAAAAATTAAAACTTTCGAATAAAGTTAATTGACTTTAAGGGTAGCTGTTGAAGTAGACTGTTGAGAACCTTCCTTTGGAGAAACCTAAATAAGTCTTGTATTCATAATTCAGGAGCATGTAGGCATACTACTTGCTTGCTCGTTTTTAGTAAAACTGGGAATAATGTGTGAAAGTTTTATGACTTTTTGGTTCATATTTTTTGCACATCTGGGGTTAATTATTGAAACAAACGCTTCGAATCTCCAGGACAGCATTTGATATAAAGTTTTAAAATTTCAGCCTAGAAGTTCCAGATTTCTATGACGAGTTTTATCTCAGTCGAATAGTATTTGTATTGGTTCAAATTGTTCTGAAAATTAATCGAAAATGCGTCGATTCAGTTCCCAGTTTCCCATGCCTGTTATGAAATTTTCTTGTGCGTTGTCTCGCACTTGCGTTATCTATTTTTCCAGCGGCACATCATTCCGTCAAGTCAATATTACCGGTTGTATGACTATAACTTCGATGATCTCGGGCTGTCAGATGAGGATACGCTTAAGGCCTGTATACGGATGTTCATCGATCTGGACTTGGTGGAGCGGTTCAACATTGACTTTGTCACTTTGACAAGATGGCTTCTCAGCGTGCGGAAAAATTATCGCCTTGTAACATACCACAACTGGCGACACGCGTTCAACGTGGCGCAGATGATGTTCGCGATTCTGACGGTTTGATAATCTTTTGTCCCATATTGTCTTGTTTTCATGCTTGCTTCCAATCAAGGCTAAATATTATTTTTTTATACTGAAGTATAGAAACGACGACCTGATATGTGCCGTATTTTCCCAAAAATTTTCCGAGTTCCATTTTGGTTTTTGAAGAATGCGCACCCGCTCTTTTTCGCATCACGTTTTACACTTTCTGCCGGGTGAACGAAAGCTTAAATTTACCACGATGCGAATGCTGAGACGTTAAAGTTAGGATACATTTTTGAATTTTGAGTGACATTAATTTCGGTTTTTGAAGAATACGCAAGCGCTTTTTTCACATCACGTTGTACACTTTCTGCCAGGTGAACAAGTACAGCTTCAATTCATCACGACTGCTGAGACGTTAAATTTAAGATGAATTTTTTAATTATCTGTCACTCAACAGGTACGATATCCACTGGACCAGATTAAAATTTTAGTTCATGATTATTCTTCATCCAATTTTCCCCATTTTACTTCGGGCTTAATTTTTAAATTTTTGGTTGAGTTTATATTAGGAGAAAGGCCTGAAGGTTACAAGAAAGATTATTTCAGGAATATGTCACAGTTTTCTGCAATTTTATTTCTGAAAATAAAATGATGCAAAGGAATACTTTCGAGTTTCTGAAAGACCTGATTTAAGATAAAAGTGTCGCCTAAATATCGGAAAATAATGACTGAAAGAGTGTAATAATTGCGACTCTATACCACCAACTTCAAAAACTCTTGCAAGTTGAACGGATCACAAATAATAATTGCTCTTTTTCTTTCCGAACAGTCAACACAGCTGTGGAAGTCCTTGGGAGACCTAGAATGTCTGTCGCTGATGATTGGTTGCTTATCACATGACCTGGACCACCGGGGCACTAATAACTCGTTCCAGTACAAGTAAGTTTCATGACTATAGTTCCATGTCATCGGGAACTTTTTTTTAAAATCGCAAATGAGCTCTAGACGATGATGAAAATCTAAGTATCATCAAGGATAAGAACTTCGGGCCGAAGGATTTTTGTGTCGAGCATTTGTAAATCAAACGAGGCGAGAAAATATGATGACCTCGGATCCCGCAGAGTATCATCCCCGCTGGCGCGGCTCTATTCGACCTCACCCTTGGAGCATCACCACTTCGACCAGTGTTTGATGATCCTGAACTCAGTCGGAAACGAGATCCTGCGATCCTTGTCTCCGGAACAATACAGGATCGTGCTTAAATGCCTGGAAGATGCCATACTCGCCACAGATCTCGCAGTTTACTTCCGGAAACGAGGCGCCTTCTTCCGGCTGGTGGAAAGTGGATCGTGGAACTGGGCAGTGCCAGAACATCGCGACATGTTGCGCGGCATGCTAATGACCGCATGCGATATTGCCGCAATTACTAAGCCGTGGTCCGTCCAAAGAAGAGTGAGTTCTTGTTTTTCGGG